ATTGGACACACTGGTCTGATGGTTCCGGAACGGACGGTTCATGGTGGAATGTTTTCCCAGAGGGAGCTGTGAGGATATCGGGCCACAGGAGCAGACAGTCTCTTAGGGGCATAGGAGACACCGATTCCCGAGCAGGAGTGACAGCATGAAGCTCAGTAGCGTCAGCAGAGCGGGAACTAGGAAATGCTCTGGGGGACAGGGAGCGCTAGTGACCAATGCACATCCATGCCCCTCTCCAATCAAGGGCTCACCAGAAGGCCTCCGCCTCCTTCCCCTTGGCTGTTCCCAGCTGGGACGGCTGGGAGACATAGTCGAAGCAGCTCCGACCACCAAGGTGGGGCCCGCAGCGCAGGCTGTACTGGAACCAGATGCGGCCATGGTTCATGTAGCAATCCTTCTGGTGGAGCTCCCCAGCCTCCAGCGGGATGTCGCAGCCTCCGAGGAGGTCATCGTCCCACTTGCTGTCCTCGTCCCAGACCTCTATGCGGATCTTGCTGGTGCTGGTGATGTGGACGGTACCGATGTCCAAGTGGATGTTCCAGACGGGATTGTTGTTGTTCCAGATGGTGCCGGTCCGGATCTCCCTTCTCTCAAAGAAGACCTTGACAAAGGCATCCGTAGCGGTAAAGTAATCCCCCCACAGGCCACTGGCCTTCTTCACTGTCACCATCAGCTTCCCCAGGCCGCGCTCCCGCGAGCAGCACATGGTGTTGGTCGTGGCATCCCCGGGGCAGACGCAGGAGCAGGGGTCGTGGGCACTGCGTTGAGTCCCCAGAGGGCAGCTTCGGGTGCAATTCCACATCAGGGCCCTCTCACGGATGTACTCACTGACTGCCCGCCTCAGCGCCTCCTGCTTGGGGTCGTCCTGCTCCAGCAAGTTGTGGATGGGTTGCAGCGAATAGGACACCGGGCCAGGGTTCCCTTTGAGACTCTCAATCCAGGCCGAGAAGACCTTGGCATCACTGCCGGAGAAGAGCACGTCAGTCGTGCTGTTTCCTCCGTCCACCTCCACGTGGCGTTCCCGATACGTCTCATGGAAGCTCCCCTGGACCTTCCCCTTCTTCTCCTCCTCCTCGCACTTGCTGTTCCCACCTTTGACCGAGCCCGTTCCGATACTCACGGCCGCCTCCATGCTCAAGCA